CCCAATTTGCTCAGGATCGGCGCTCCCGCTTGTGATTTCTTCACAATTTAGTCAGGAGCCCCCCTCCCGTCTGAGATTTCCTTACAAATTATTCAAGAACGGCGCTCCCGCTCAAGATATCCTTGCGTTTAGTGTAATTCGACCCCCGCTCCCGCCAGACATCCCCTTTTCAGGAATTGCACTCTCGCTTGTGACTTCTTTCGCAGTTTATTCAGAAATCGCGCGATCTACGCTCAGGCACCACGCTCGCGCCAAGGACGCCGTCACACTTTACTTAGGAATCGCGCTCTCGCCCTACTCAGGCATCCCGCTTGAATGTCCCACCCGCCCGACCCGCCCGTCAGAGGATCGCCAGCCCGTCGTGGGCTGCCGCCCGAGACTTTCTTGTGGAATGGCGCTTTCGCCTAGGACCTCTTCGAACGTTCGCACTCGTACCTTCTTGCTCCTCCCTCCTCCCGTGCCGCCTCCCCTCTCCTTCCGATTCCTTCTCCCTTGCACGTCAGCTGATGTTGAACTTTCATTCCTGAAAAATGATTTCTGTTGGTCCCCCCCACCTGTGCTCATTGTTTTTTCTAAGTCACGGTGCGGCGCCCCTCGACGCTCGCACCTTGTTTATTTGATAGGGAAAGTCATCCGGGCCAAACTGTGCTCCTGGGCCCCCAGCTACAACAACAACGGCTCCCGTCTCAGACGCGCCCAGTGAGGCCCCGCCACGCTGCCCACAGAGGCCCCTGCCGCAGCCCACAAAGGCCCCGAACGCGCCCACAGAGGTCCCGCCAAATTTCCCACTCAGGCCCCAAAGCCAACCCACAGAGGCCCCGAACGCGCCCACGGAGGCTCCGCCACGCTGCCCACTGAGGCCCTCGGCGCAGCCCACGGAGGCCCCGAACGCGCCCACGGAGGCCCCGCCACGCTGCCCACTGACTGAGGCCCCAAACCCAGCCCACAGAGGCCCCGAACGCGCCTACAGAGGCCCCACCCCGCTGCCCACTGAGGCCCCTGACGCAGCCCACAAAGGCCCCGAACGCGCCCATTGAGGCCCAACCACACTGCCCACAGAGGCCCCAACACCCTGCCCAGTGAGACCCCAGACGCAGCCCACAGAGGCCCCGAACCCACAGAGGCCCCACTACGCTGCTCACTGAGGCCCCAGACGCAGCCCACAGAGGCCCCGAACGCGCCCACAGAGGCCCCACCACGTTGCGCATTTCTTCGTCAAAGTGCGCCCCTCGACGCTCGCACCTTGTTTATTTGACAGGGAAAATCATCCGAGCCAAACTGTTCCCCAGGGCCCCCGGCTACAACAACAACAACAACAACAACAACAACAACAACAACAACAACAACCACAACAACGTCAGCAGCAGCAACAACAACAGCAACAACAACGGCTCCCGAGCAGCACCAGAGGTGTTACATGGCGCTGTTTATGGCGTGACCCATGGCGAAGGTTTTGTTAATCTGTGTTGGAATGGCTGGCGCAAGCCATGGCGCAAGCTGAATCGCAACTCACGGCACAAATCATCGTCGTCCCTCCTTCTTGCCCCTCTAATCCCTCCCTTCCTCCGATCCCTTCGTCCTCTCATGTTGTCTTTTCCTTGTCGTTTCCCTGTTTAGGGGCTTCTCCAATTACATGTGGCAAGGGGGCACGATCGAAGACGAAGAGGGCGGGTATCCAGGGTTTGGGGTTTAGGATATGCATAGTGAATGACACGCGGGCCGGTAGGAGCGAACAGTTTTGGAATGATTGTTGCTGTTGAACTCTCACTCATGAAAAGTAAGTATAGTTGATCCCCCCTCCGGTGCACAATGTATTTTTGTCAATTGAAGTGCCCCTCCCGGCGCTCGCCCATTGTTTTTTTATCACGGAAAGTCTTCTTCCTCAACCTGCGTTGATGGCCCCCGGGTTACAACAACAACGGCTCCCGCCTGAGACTTCCTCACAATTTAGCCAGGATCTTGGGGGCCTCTTGGGGGCATCTTGGGGCCTCCTGGGCGCCCCTTGGGGCCGTCTTGGAACACCTTTGGGAGCCTCGGGGGCCACCTTGGGGCCATCTTGGAGAACATCGATCAAATAACGGGCAGCACTCGATGAGCCCCCCTCCAGGAGGCCGAACTGTGACCAACACCTTGGTACAAGACATGTGTTTGGCCTTCTCTCCGAGGCCTCTTGGGGCGTCTTGGGTGGGCCTCCTGGGGGTCTCTTGGGAGCCTCTTGGGAGCACCGTGGGGGCGTCTTGGTGTGGATGGTGTGCGATCGATGGATGGTGTGCGGTCGACCCGATCGGCCAATGACTGGATGTCGTGGCCCGCCCCCTGCTCTCCAGAAGCTGCTGCGTGAACCCATGAGGCACCTCCTCGTCGCCGCGTCGAGTTCGGCTCTTGATGCTGCTCGCTTTGGAGCCTGCGGGGGCCCGTGTCGCGAGCAGCATATTGCGAAGGCCTGACGGCCGGTGCCGCCGACCCTGTTCGCAATGCGCAGCAAGAGGCACGGGCTGTGGGATGGTTTGGGGGAACGGGGAGAAGGACGAGAAGGTGGGGGAGGGAGGTGTCGTATCTGACCCGGGACTTCCCCGGGACTCCCCCGGGACCCCCCCCGGGACCTCCTCTCCCCCCCCCGTCGGGGAAGGGAAAGGGAAGGGGCTTCCCTTCGACTCAATGACGACGTTGCTCAAGGTCGGTACGGGGGGGGGGCGTCGTATCTGACTCGGGGGGGGGGGAGGAATGAAAGGGAAGGGGCTTCCCTTCGACTCAATTACGAGGTTGCTCAAGGTCGGCTTGGCTGGAGCCCAGGGGAAGAGGAGTCCCAGGGGGGGGCGTCGTATCTGACCCGGGGGGGGGGTCGCTACCCCCCCCCCCCCTCCCGGCGGGGGAGGGATCAAAGGGAAGGGGCTTCCCTTCGACTCAATTACGAGGTTGCTCAAGGTCGGCTTGGCTGGAGCCCAGGGGAAGAGGAGTCCCAGGGGGGGGCGTCGTATCTGACCCGGGGGGGGGGGTCGCTACCCCCCCCCCCTCCCGGCGGGGGAGGGATCAAAGGGAAGGGGCTTCCCTTCGACTCAATTACGAGGTTGCTCAAGGTCGGCTTGGCTGGAGCCCAGGGGAAGAGGAGTCCCAGGGGCGGGGCGTTCGACTGGACCCTGGAGGGGGAAGAGGAGTCCCAGGGGGGGGCGTCGTATCTGACCCGGGGGGGGGGTCGCTACCCCCCCCCCCCCTCCCGGCGGGGGAGGGATCAAAGGGAAGGGGCTTCCCTTCGACTCAATTACGAGGTTGCTCAAGGTCGGCTTGGCTGGAGCCCAGGGGAAGAGGAGTCCCAGGGGGGGGCGTCGTATCTGACCCGGGGGGGGGGTCGCTACCCCCCCCCCCTCCCGGCGGGGGAGGGATCAAAGGGAAGGGGCTTCCCTTCGACTCAATTACGAGGTTGCTCAAGGTCGGCTTGGCTGGAGCCCAGGGGAAGAGGAGTCCCAGGGGGGGGCGTCGTATCTGACCCGGGGGGGGGGTCGCTACCCCCCCCCCCTCCCGGCGGGGGAGGGATCAAAGGGAAGGGGCTTCCCTTCGACTCAATTACGAGGTTGCTCAAGGTCGGCTTGGCTGGAGCCCAGGGGAAGAGGTCTCCCAGGGAAAGTGAAGGACAGAGACGACGAGTACAAAGAAGGACGGAGATGACGGCTCGAACGGAAAAGCCCCTCACACACGCCGACAGGGTCGGCGGATTCTGTGTTTGAAATGCGGGGGCTGGAGGCACGGGAGGAACCGTGAAACTCGCCGAGGTCTGCCAGAAGCCAGCGAGTAAGGACTGTGTGTCCTGAGCCGATTCTTTGGCCCGAACTTGAAGGTCCGCGAAGTGCTTGATAAGGCGTTGCCTGTGGCGCGACTTGGCTTTGAAGCGGATGCCAGCTCGAGGTGCGGTCTGAGTGTTACATCAGTGCCGCGAGCTTTCTCGGATGCCCCCTCAGCCCCCGACCATGAGCAGCGAATGGCGGCCTTGGTCGCCAGAGTTGCAGCTAAAGAAGAGGCTGCGCGAGCCTCAGGGGCGATTTAACTCCCCCAGTGCTGTCTTTTGGTGCTGTCACCTCCCGACCTTTCCGGGCGCTGCCCATCCATCCATCTAAGGGGCCTCTTCGGTGGTGTTGGGGTTCTCTTGGGGGTCTCTTGGGCTGTTTGTCGGCTTGGGAAGTTTGGAAAGGCGAGAGCCCCCAAAACATTGAAACACACAATGAAAATGCATGACGTTTGCCTCCCGAGGCCTTCTGGGGAAGGTTCTCAGGGTTTTCTTGGGACGTTTATTGCGTTGCCGGTCCACCTGTGTGTGTGTGTGTGTGCGTGTTGGTGTTAGCCAGCACGGATTCCAAACGATGCATTTCTAGCAGTAAGTTGTGCAGTTTAGGTGGAACATTTTGCGTGGTGCAATCCACGTGACGTTGTGCAATTTATCTCGTGCAGTCGATGTGGTGCAAGATATGTGGTGCAAAATATGTTGTGTAATCGATGTTGTACAATGAATGTGCTGCAGGCTACGAGGTGCAGCAGAGATGGTGCAATCTGTGCGGTGCAATCGACGTGGTGTTGCAATCTATGTGGGCAGCCGACGCGGTGCAATGTATGTGGTGCCCATGTTGTGCAATCTAGGCGGCGACCCGGCAGCGACGAGGCGGCGACGCGGCGGCGACGGGGCGGCGACGGCGACAAAGTAGCCGCCAGACCGGCCCGCAGGCCCACTTCCTCAGAAAAGAAGCTCAAAGGCCTCAGTGCAAACACTGCTTGGGGAGTATTTCTATTGAGGCCGCGGCCCCGCCCGCCTACTTTAGACAGGTCTGGATTATGCTCCGCACCAGTGGCCCGTTCGCTCGCTCGCTCCCTGCCCCCTATCGAGGAGGCGACCGCCCCCCGCGTGGCTCCAGCGCGCGCCCGCTGGCCGCACAGCGGCGGCCCCCCGCCGCGCAGGTCAGCGCGCGTGGGCCCCGCGCCAATGCCGCGGGGGCTGCCCGCGGGCCTCGCCGAAGGCCGGCCTTGGCCCCTCGGCGCACCGCCGCCGCCGTCGGCCGTCTGCCCTCGGCGTCGACGCCGCAGCCGCGCACCGCCGCCGGGAGCGGCGCGAGGGCCCGCGCCTTGCCGCGGGGTCGTCCCGGCGGGCCTTGTAGAAGACCCCTCGGGCCGTCGCGCCGCCGTTGTCGCTGTCGCCGCCGCCGTCGTTGGCGGCGGCGTTGGCGACGACGACGACGACGACGACGACGACGACGACGACGACGACGACGACGACGACGACGACGACGGCGACGACGACCACGACGAAGGCGGCGACGGCGGCGGCGGCGGCGGCCACGACGACGCCGCCCTGGCGTCGACGATGGGCGAAGTCGCCCCCTGCTCGTTTCCTCGCGAACCTTCCCTGCTGGATCGGCTCGCTTGGAAGGCAGACGAGCTCCATCTTCTCTTTCGTGCGTTGGTCTCCGCGCTGAAAAGCGCGTCGCCGGCGGAGCGTTCGCGGCACGGCGCGCCGTGCCGCGAAGTCGCCCCTGCGGGCCTCGCGGAAGGTCCTCGCTCGAGGATCGGATCGAATGGTGCCGAGGATCGGTGGGAGGTTCCTCGGGCATCTTCGGGGCGCTCGTCGCCACTCCCCTGTCAGAGGGCCGGGGAGCGTCACAGCTCCTGGGGTAGTGGCGGGCGTCACCACCAGAACAGGAACGGCTGTCGGCCGAGAGCCAAGGAGGCACACCCTTGGGCACGTGAGCCAAGACAGCACGTTCTGGTCTGCAGCCTCATCGCGTCACCACAAGGCTGTAGCTTGGGCTGGAAGCATGTTTTCCGCACTAATGATCCGCATGTAGGTTGCCTCGTCATATCGGGCTTCGTCCCGCTGGGAGGGCTGGAACAGGGGCTGTAGAGCGTGCTCATCAATCCTGGCCTCCAAGACTCGGGAGTGTGCGTGGTCCACGGGGCTGGCGGAGGCAGGGTGTAAGCTCGAATTCCAGGACCGATGAGCGCTGCGAAGCAGAAGCGGCATTTCCAGGACCTGTGCGCAGTTCAAGATCTGCGGCAGCACACAATGCCACTGTCCACCACCGTTGCATCTTTGTGCTCCCGACCTCTGAAAACATTCGCGTCATCCTGGCATCAGTTCTGTCTTCGTCCATGGGGGCGTTAGTTACGACACTCGGGTGTAACAATATTGATGAAGTAAAGCTCACCGAGCTCATTATGATGGTGGCTGAGCCCGGCTGTGAAGGGCAGGAGATGCATAGGGCAGGATCTCATCTGCATATACTCACTCGCAAGAGGATACGCTCGTTGTCACGGATCTCCTCTTGTTGTACGACCTTCTCAGAGAGGATCCGCAACCCACCCTGTTTGTGCCGAACATGCATCATTATCATTCCCGTAGCGGTCAAACTGCGTTAGGCCCAATTGTCGCCTTTGCGCTTGCTTGGAGCGTCGGAAAGCCAAAAGGCGAGTTTCTTTTAAAATGCACGTTTTGCGAAGGGAATGGTACCAGTGTTGCGTCTGGGGACCCTCTTGGGGCGCATCATCGGGGCCTCTTGGGGTTTCTCTACCCCCCTTCCGACGCGCATTGTCACGGACCAGCCCGGGCCTGGGGGATGGGGTCAAATTGGGGGTTTGGGGTCCCCCAGGGGAGGGGATTATGGGGGGAACAATATCACACGGCTGATGACCCACAAGGGGTCGGCGGATTTGGTCTTGCGCTGCCTCGGGACCCCCTGTTCTGGGCTGCTGCCTGGCTGTGCGCTCACCTTGTGCAGTCGCTTAGGTCGATCTGGCTCGCGTCGAAGTCGACCTGCCCCATCCAGGGGAGATGTGCAGTCCTGCTGGTGCGCTCGCACGGGGAAGGAAGCCAGTGTCCGCGACAGCACGCTGAGGCGGGGCCCCTGCTTCGGCTCCGCATGAGAGTGGCACCTCGCCGGAGTCCTGGCATCGCTCGGACGTGTGCATTTTTTCTCGGCGAGGGCCATCGAGGAGCATCCTTGATCATTTGGCGAAAAAACCACGCACGAAACCGAAAAAAACACAGGGAATGGACGTCCGAGCGATGGCGAGGAGTGGCCTCTGCGTGCAGTGCGCAGGCAGTGCGGACCAACCGGGGCCCCCGAAAGCGAGTAGCGCGATGAGACAGCAGCGGCTTGCGCCCTCTGGTCCGACCCCGCCGGGTCGCCGCCCGACGGCCGCCCACGGTGCCAAGAGCCGACACCTGTATATCGCATCTGGCCCGAGGTCGCGAGGATCGAGGCTTTCAGGGCTCGTTTCGATTCTCCCGATTCGAGTCGATTGGACTTTGATGGTTTCCGATTCCGACTCGATTTGACTTCGGATTCTGACCGGGATTCCGATTTCTCAATGAGGCCGTATTGTTCCAGCGATTTCAGCCGATTCGACTCCTCCCAACTCGGCTGCCGATTCCCGCCGATCCGATTCATTTCGATCGCCGATTCGACTCATCGGTTCGATTCTGGGCTCTCCCTGGGCTATCCACATCCGGAGGTCTCCGAAGATCTTCAGGGAGCCCTCCAAGGAGGCCTGAGCGACTGGGCGCCTCTTGGCCAGGTCGTGGGCGAAGAACAGGTCCGTATCCGCAGCCACGCGGGCCGGGCCCCTGAGCCGCGACCCCGCGGATGTCCTCCTCCTTCTCTTCCTCCTCCTCCTTATCCCCCTCCTCCTCTTCCTCCTCCTCCTCCTCCTCCTCCTCCTCCTCCTCCTCCTCCTCCTCTTCCTTCTCCTCCTCCTCTTCCTTCTCCTCCTCCCTGCGCCCTCCTCCTCCTCCTTCTCCTCCTCCTTCTTCTCATATTCCTCCTTCTCCTCCCTTCTCCTCCTCCTCCTCCTCCTCCTCCTCCTCCTCCTCCTCCTCCTCCTCCTCCTCCTCCTCCTCTCCTTCTCCTCCTCCTCCTAATCCTCCTCCTCCTCCTCCTCCTCCTCCTCCTCCTCCTCCTCCTCCTCCCTCCCTCCCTCCCCCCTCCTCCCTCCCTCCCTCCCTCCCTCCCTCCTCCTCCTCCTCCTCCTCCTCCTCCTCCTCCTCCTCCTCCTCCTCCTCCTCCTCCTCCTGCAGGACGTTTTTTCGCTGTTGCCCCACGCGAAACGCATCCGTGCGACCGCCGACCGCGTATCTGCGGGATCGCGCCCCAGAATCCAGGCAGCGAGCCCGCCGACACGGCTATGTTCGCCGCTCGTGACCAGGGGCAAGTTTTCTGACACATGTGCGGCCCGTCGGATCAGATTTGCTGGAATTCTTTACGCTTCGCGTATCCCCACCAGCCCATCTCACAACAGCAACTCTTGCGAAGCATGCCGACAGATGTGTTTTGCAGGCGTGTGTCCGCTTGCCCCCGCATATCTCCCCTGTTCCTCCTTCCTCCCGCCTCCTTGTACATCCTCCTTGTGGGGGGAGCGGGAGAAGGACGAGGCGGAGGAGGAGGGAGAGAAAGCGCTCCTCGTGGTTTGAGTCGTTTGGGGTTTCTCGTCCTGGTGTGAGTCGTTCGGGCCCTTCTTCCTGGTGTGAGTCGTTCGGGCTCTTCGTGGTGTGAGTCGTTCGGGCTCTTCGTCCTGGTGTGAGTCGTTCGGGCTTCTCGTGGTGTGAGTTGTTCGGGCCCCTCGTCCTGGTGTGAGTCGTTCGGGCCCCTCCTCCTGGTGTGACTCGTTCGGGCTCCTCGTGGTGTGAGTCGTTCGGGGCCCTCGTCGTGGTGTGAGTCGTTCGGGCTCCTCGTGGTGTGAGTCGTTCGGGCGCCTCGTCCTGGTGTGAGTCGTTCGGGCCCCTCCTTCTGGTGTGAGTCGTTCGGGCTCTTCGTGGTGTGAGTCGTTCGGGCCCCTCGTCCTGGTGTGAGTCGTTCGGGCTCCTCGTGGCGTGAGGCGTTCGGGCACCTCGTCCCCTTTTGGGGCGTCTTGGGGGCCTCTTGGCGGCCCCAGGGGCTTCTAGGAGCGTCTTGGGTGCCTTGGGGGAGCCTCTTCGGGCCTCTTGGGAGCCTCTTGGAGGCCGTTTGGGGCGTCTTGGGGGCCTTTTGGGGGCCTCTTGGCGGCCCCAGGGGCTTCCAGGAGCGTCTTGGGTGCCTCGGGGGAGCCTCTTGGGGCCTCTTGGGGGCCTCTTGGGGGCATCTTGGGGGCCTCTTGGAGGCGTAGTAGTAGTAGTCGTAGGAGTAGAAGTAGTAGTGGATGTCTTTTGGTCGGAGGCCTCTGGGGGCGCCTCTTGGAGACATCTTGGGGGCATCTCCTCGTGGGGCCTCTTGGGGGCCTCTTGGAGCCTCTTGGGGCCTCTTGGGGGCCTCTTGGGGGCCTCTTGGGGGCCTCTTGGGGGCCTCGTGGGGCCTCTGGGGGCCTCTTGGGGGCCTCTTGGGGCCATCTTGGGGGCCTCTTGGGGCCTCTTGGGGGCCTCTTGGGGGCCTCTTGGAGGCCTCTTGGGAGGCTCCTGGGGGCCTCTTGGGGCCATCTTGGGGCCTCTTGCGACCTCCTCAGAAGCGCAAATGAGCGCTGCCCCCTGAGAAGGACAAAAGGAGCCCAAAACCTTCGTAAAATCAATGATTTTGCTATGAAGGAAGAGAAGCGCGGCCCCCTCAGGAGGCCAAAATGGGGCCAAAACCGTAGTAAAATCAATGATTGTGGCTTCAAAGACGAGGAGAGGGTTTTTTCTCCGGCCCCCCGTCGGGGCCAGAATCCTCGTGAGGGTCGTCGTCGTTTTTTAGCCCTCCCAGGAGTCGAAAAAGACCCCTCCAACGACCCGCGAAACCCCCTCTCCAGGTCCAGGGGGAGGGGGTAGGGGGAGGGGTAAACCCCTCCCCGAAGGGGAAGAAGGGGGGTTGAGAACAGAGAGAGCTCCCTAAACCACTCACGCCCAAAGGGCTGGTGGGATTCTGCGCTCACGCGGCAGCGTGGTGCGGCGGCGCGCAAGGGGGGCAGTCTCGCCGGGGTCGACCTTCACACGGGCTCGATGGGGTTTCTCAAAAGGGACCGCCCCTCCACATAGTACAGTGCGTGCGGCCCGCGCCTTCCGTCTTCCTCCTCCTCC